AGGGAAATAACATTTCATGCAAGCTGATTAAAATCAATAATGCTCTCACTCATACCACTTTGGAAAATATTAGGAACCAGTGCTCAAGCAATTATATTCAGTTAATTTTTTTCTAATCTAGTGAGGAGGACTGCTGAATACAAAACACCTTTTATCAGTTAAAAAATAATGCTCATTCAGAAGTCTGTTACACTAAAACATACTTTAGTAAACAGGCTACATCCAAACAAATTTTACAAGTTTGTGGTTTTTATTTTTTTTTCCCATCCATTCCTACAAAGCTTCCATGAGTTAAAGGAATATTCCACTCCAGCTTCCAAGGCTCCCAGGTGTCACTGAAACAACACAATTGGAACAACAGAATGTGTATTTCTCATTCAGATTCAGCACAGCTCAAACCATGCTAGGTAGTTTGTAAAAGAACACCACATCAGTGAAAAACAAAATATTGATTTTCATCTTATGAGTCTTTGGGAAGAGGTAAAAGGATAAAGAAAACCATAACAAAACCCCAAAAAAACTTCTGACAGGACACCTCTTTGCAATTGGTCTTCTTGATGCCTGAATAGTAATATTATGCTTTCAAGTAAGAACAGTTTTCTTCATTGGATAAGATACAGCACACAGCTACCACCCATAAGCTTTAGTCCACACTGCTTTCTTCTTGAACTCTGCAAGCGATCTCAAGGCCAGAAGTGTAACTGTGAAGACAAGGACAAATGACATCAATTTGTGCAGTCCAGACTGGAAAGGATGTGAAAGTATTTTCCCTAGTCATTTTATTAACACAGGTACAGTTTCAGCTCTCCTTTTACTGACTCTTTTCACAACTTTTTCACTTCCCAGGCTGACAGTTTCTGATGCAACTTCTGCTGTTCACAAGATACACTAGAGCCTACACCCCTCTGAAATGTGATGTCATACTAGGCCTTTGACTTGCTTTATGACATGTCTCCTACTGAAATCGTATCACATCATCTCCTAGTTAGACCATCACTTTGAAGCGGCACATAGATCAACCAACACTGGATAAAGTTTGAATTCAGTGAGCAGTGATGCAAGAGGGGAGAGAGAAGGCACTATGAAGAACGGAAGCACAAAGTACAACGTCGTAAGTCCTCTGTGCAACTCACAACTCCTCAATTCAATTCGAAAGGATCATGTGTTTAGGCAAAATCCAGTAACCAAACCAGTCATACTGTCAACTCCCAGAAGGGAGTTGCATGTTCTAGTACTTAAAAACAAAAAAAACCCAATGGAAATCTCAAGGGAAACAATGACTGATCTCAATCAGGGAATACTGAGAATATAATGTATGTATCAGAATCCTCTGATGTACAGAGGAGACTCTCCAACAGCCCTGAGCATTGTTTCTGGTGGAGATTAGCAGACACAAGGCAATTTTGAAATTTGTCAGAGAGTGACTAAAGATTGCAGACCCTCAAACCAAGGCTAATTATCCTACTAATGCAAAGAAATTACAACCAGATTTCAAGAAGCCACGTTGAGATCCAAAAAAATCAGGTGATTCAAAGGCGGTGTCTTGTGTTAAGAGAAAGAAGCACAAGCACACTCACTTCACTTGAGAGTATTTGTGGTGTCCTCTTAATAGGACTTGCACAGATTGTGTTCACACTCCTACATCTCTAGGTGAGCAATGGGGTACATGCTAGGGCCACAGGCCATTACTGTAATTCAAAATATCATGTACGTCCCATCTTTCTTTTCATTCAACTTTTCAGGAACCCTCATACCTCTATACTTTCTTGTCAGACCACTCCACTAGGCTGTCATTTGCCTGTCTCCTACCCCTTCCTCACAGTTCAGTCTTCAACTGTATCTGAATAAACTGTTATGTGATTGCTATCCTAGAACTGGAGGGTTTCCAAGTAGTATGTTGCATTTCATTTTTAAGGGTAACTTCAAAAACAACTGACAGATCTATAACTGAAATACACCTGTAGGACTAGATTTACCTTTAGGTCCTTTGGACATTCAGTGGTACATCATAAGCATCAGCAGATGAGACAGCAAATACAAGAAGGTATCACAGACAGGAATGTTAACTCACCTTAAGGTTTCCTTAAAGACAAAATACAGCTCTCCTACATGTGCTAATAGTATAGATCAATCTCACTCCTTTTAACAACTGGATTTTGATCTGTACTGATAGTTATGGAAAAGTAAGGATCCAATTAAAATATCCTACCTTTCAGCAGGTCCATGGAAGATTTTGATAATGCTTCCTTAGGACTTTCCATCATATTGATCAGCCAGTCAATAAACTAAAGATTGAAATATAAAGGAAAATCTGAATTAAAAGAGGTTCTGTATCAGAACACCACAAATTCTGTTCCATTTGACAAGCAATATCTGATTGCTGCTAAACTCATAGTTACCTAATCAGAGGCAATGGCCAATCAACCTTCTGCCCAAACTATCTAAACGGCCTAGAGTACATCTCACTGTTGGTGCAATTTCTCCCACAGACAGATCCAAAACACCCTTTGTTCCTTCTTATTATCTGAGCAATAATTCTTTGTAATGAAGAAGGCACAGTAAACAGTTCCCCCCTGCCCTGTCTTGCCTGTTCATGCCTTTTGCCTATTAATATGATCCTTTCTTATTGGTCTTTTGTCCAAACATTTTACTGCAAATCCCTCAGAACTCTTACTGCCTTTGTCCCTCTTTTGACCTCTCTCATTTTTCATTTTCTTTTGGCAGTGCAGGGTGTCTGGAGGACAACGTGGTATTTCAAACTTATCAGGATGATTTTCAGGGCATAGCCTCAAATTCTTCCCTAAAGCCTAATTAGGCACTTGCACATTAACAGCCCACTCCTGCATTCCTCCCGTATTCTGAATTCTGACTTCAGTGGTAACTCTGAGCACAGGAGTGTACAGGAGCCAGTCCTTAGTGGATTCTGTTTACACAAAACAGCTAACTATTAATCTATAGGTTTCTAACGATATTTCCATGTATCTCAACCACAAGCAATCTACAGTAGCCTTGCTGAATTAGGCACAATTTTCCATACTTATTTTCAACTTAAATTTGAAAATAAGTGACACACACTACAAACTGCACAGATCTTTCATTGCCCTAAATTGCCACTGTGGTAGTGTCCAATTGCAGATGATCTGCCTTTCAGTGTTTAAAAGACTGACTTGCTACCAGCAGCTGCCAACTCTCCTCTCCCAGCTGTACCCTCTTAACAGTTTGACTCCCAACATTGGAATGTTTTTTGTTCTTCACAACTCTCACATTTTACTTGAGAAGCTACACACAATCTTTCGAGACAAGTCATATCTGATTGCAGATAAAGAAAAAATAGATCACAAATCAGATGCAACAGATATAGAGGAAATAACTGCTCCACCTAAGACTTGAGCTGACTACTAAGAAATGGGGTACTTTCTGACTCTTGGAAAATGTTTACCACTACATGCAATTTTACCTTCTGTGTTTGTTCTTTCCAAGGCTCTTTAGCCAGCAAAAGGGAAATGCTGCTTGGAAGGAGAGTGAGAGTCTCTTGCACCGCAAACTTGTCAGTGAGGTGCTTGCCAATGTGATCCTCGGACAATTCCGGCAATACTGTTTGGTGCTTCTGCAGTGACCAGTTAGCACTGAGGCCAAGCAGTAACGGTGCACCATGGTCAGCCCAGGCCACCACAGAAGCTGCAAACAGCCACAGGAGGAAGTCTATGCACTAAACAGGAAAAAGGCAAAAATGCACTTTGTTAGATTAATAATACAGAAGGGGGAAAAAACCCAAAGTGCCCCAAACCAAAAATCCAGATGGTGGCCTGCTCTTCAAAACAATCATCTGAAAATTCAGCCAACACTCAAAATGCAAGAACTAAAAAGTCCTTAATATTCTCTTATGCTTTGGAAGCAGCATAAGCCTTTTTCTAAACTCCAAATCAAACTAAAATGTTTACAGAAATAAAAGCAAACACACACTCTTCTAAAATCATCCTTTTGATTAAGACTGATCCACATTTCGTTTAAACTAAACTAGGGTAGGTTTAGACTAGATATAAGGAAGAAATTCTTTACAATGAGGGTGGTGAAACACTGGAACAGGTTGCCCAGAGAGGTAGTGGAGGCCCCATGCCTGGAAGCATTCAAGGCCAGGTTGGATGGGGCTCTGAGCAACCTGATCTAGTTAGCCTGCAGGGGGGTTGGACTAGATGACCTCTAGGGGTCCCTTCCAACCCAAACCACTCTATGATTCTATGATTCTATGATTTAAAATGGGGAAATAATTTCTTTACAGCAAGCTGATTAAGCTGATTGTTGAGGGAAATTAGAGATGGTCATTCTTACGGTGCTACAAATGATTAGGAAATATTGCAGCCATGTAATGAATGCCTTTCTGATCTAAGCAGCAGCTTATTTCATGTCCTCAACCGTAAGACTTAAACAGCTGTACAGATGTAACAATGAACAACATTAGTTCCTTAAAACTGTCCAAGCCCTCTTAGAAAAATCGGCTGCACCGTTTTGACCGGCTTTGACAGTTCTACTGGTAAATTCAAGTTTTTCTTTTCGTTGTTCTAAATACAGTATATTTGAAGCAATGGTTTCCTTCAGTTGCCTTTAGCTTCTATCATAATTTAAATGTCGGTGTTATTTTAAAGTAAAGAGTTTTAAACACACATACATTCACAAAAAATTAGAAGGATTTCTCTATGAAGGAAAGATGACAATCTTCTAAAGTATAAAAGCATGGGGAATAATACTTATTGATGAGGAAAAACATGAAATACATCAAAACCTCCTTTTTTCCTGAAAGCTGCAAATTATTTTCATAGCATGTACCTCTTTAAGATCAACATCTTGTAAGGGTGTTGACTTGTATGCTAAATTTCTGATGTAGCCCATCAGGTCCAGCAGCCAGTCCATTCTTTTCAGCACTCCTAGAACAAGAATATCAAACCAGAACAACATAAAACAATAAAATGCACCATTTTGCATTAAAATCCAAGAATAGGGAATCACTATAGCAACAAAGCACTGACTGTGGAAGAACAACAATCAACAATACCACTATCACATGTGATTCATGATTGCCACTGGCAGAAGGCATATGGGCACTTAAACAGTACAAAACCTGCTTATAATGCAGGCAACACATTGAACACACAGAAAAAGGAAAGCTGAGCAAGAATTATTTCACATAATGGCAGCCTGCAGGTCCCACTAACCCAGTCTGCATATGACTGCTACAGAATCCTGAAGCTTCCCTCAAGTTTTTACCCCAGTACTTCATCCAAGTCTAGCACTGATGTCACTGTACAATAGGCAAGAATGCGGGGAGTGCTCTGAAAATCCTCCTACAGCGCAGAGAGTAAAATACAGTGAAGGCATGTAAAAAAAGTCAGCCCTCAACCCAAGGATGGAACATATTTAATTGATTCAGATTCTGCTGTCCAAAATCCATTCTACCTCCTACGAACTAATAACCATCTTCACCTTCAAGACCATGTCACTTCATACACTACCATTTACTTGTAGTCTTTACATGTGCCCTCTTTCATGTTGCCTCCTCTTTTACCCCAAGGAGCCTCACTTCACTCATTCCAAAAACTCACTACTGTTTGAAGTTCTTCAATCACATCTGGCAGCTAATGCATGTAGCCACATAATGCTTTGCAGTTGTTCTGTGAACACAGGCAGCCAAAGATCCTTCTGCCATGAAAACGAGGAGACTTCATTCTTGCCTCCCTCTGTTCTTCCTCCTTCATCCTCCTGTCTGATTCTGCTACATCTCTTGCATCAGCTCCAGTGCTTTAGAAGACCCTAAGCTGAGCCAGCCCAACTCTAGATAACTATCTGGTATGGTTATGAAGAGGCGGAAGGGCAATTTGTTTCCTGTGCTAACTCAGTGCAAGGAGTTCACAAAAGGAAGCTATTTCCTTGGTCCAACCAGTCTCACGGGAACGTGTCCCTTACTAAGGCTTTGCACACCAGTAAATCAGATATTAGATCTGAAGGTTAGCAGAGTTACACTATTACTGGTCTCTGATGTGCCATGTACATTTCTAACACTACCTCACACTGAAAGTCTAAAAAGACTAGGAGACACAGATCTAGTCAAAACTCTGGTCTGGAAACCACCTGGCTGAGACAAATTACTTGTGGCTGATCCACAGAGACATAAAGAATTGGAGAAAAACATAAAAGCAATGTTTGATACAAGTATTTGAAGAGCAGAAAAATTCTGAAGATTGACTAGTTTCTAATATTGAGAAATTTGGAAACACTTGGGTTAAACCATCTTAAAACTATTTTAAAAGAATCAGTGTAGATCCATTGATACCTGTTGATTTTGCTGTTGATTCTTCTTTAAGCCTGGCCTTACCTGTGTTTTCATGGCTCACAATACGAGCGTGATAGAAACTATGCAAGAGCATCCATAAAATATTTTCTTTCTGGTGATATCCTGCCACAGTATCAATCACGGCACTCAAGTTCATCAGAGGCAGTCTGCCTTGAGCAATTAAATACACTTTCGTGAATGTGGCCTTCTCTATATTGTTCTGCAAATGCAATTAAAAAACGTGTTAAATTAAAACATGCCTTTCTTGAGGGAACAGAAGGTGCTGCATTCCTCTTTATAAAAAAGGGGAGAAATCACTTGATTATCTAGCAGGCTCATTTTTCTTCAAGACAAATTATGAAACAGAATACTGTACATATTACTTTAATTTTACACATTTCTAAATAGTCCAGCAAATTGCAAATCAGTACAGTTTGACTGTTTTCATACTGCTTTAAATTTTACATTCCCCTTAAAATTGAAATGACCCAGCTTGACAGTTCTGGAGACTCAATATTCTTGCAAGACAGATTCACTGCAGTGACAAAAAAGGTTTTCTTAAATGGCATTTTCCAGTGTGGAAAATAAGAACTCAAAGATATAAGGAAATGACAGTTCAGGTTCCCTAACCTATTTAAATGCTTGATTATCTAGTGAATCTGCCAGTAAAGAGGACAACATGGTTTTATGTCATGGATGTTTGATTATAACGATCTGATCTGAAACCATCAAGTCCTTCCGTGCAGGCAATTTCCTTGGCATTTCAGCTGCTAAGAACTGCACTGCTAATTGATTCCACTGATGAGCTAGAAGCTGAAAGCTTTTCTGTTCCATTGTCATACTTAGTAATCTTGTCCACCATGAAACATCTGAGTGTGAATGCAAATACAGCACATTAAGTCAAGAATGAAAGGTTGTTCAGTGAAAGTATTTCACACTCTTAACAGAAGCAGGGATCCACCAGTTCAAGCACACATAGTTAGCGGGATGCATTTACAGTCTGTTTCAAGTAGGTAGTTACATTAACCAAAGAGGACTATGGTCTGCTGTTTGCATCATTGGTCTGAGATTCAGAAGATCTAACACCATTCCTGTTCTGCTAACAGAGTCCTGCCTGAACGTGCCCAAGTTACTTAGACTCTTCAGTTCAAAGCTCTCAGGGGAAATCAGTAGTATTTCAGTTGCCTCAAAGAAGTTTTGGATATGGGCTCTTATCACTTTTGCTTCTCTTTGCTGCCTGCAAATTAGAGCCAAAACTCTCTTACTTGCATGGCAGACAAAACAATCAATGCTTGTAATGAGCTAAACCACTCTGGTGACAAGAAAAATGGTAAGGCTTGCTTGTTTCACATGATTTGGTGATAAAAGACCAGGAGTAAAACGTCATTACCTTAGAGATCTGGACAATGTGATCAATCTCCGAATCAGCCATTTCTGAGATACATTTTGCTACATCGACATACATGTCCAGTCCGCCTCTCTAGAAACAGAAAAGTAAACGCATATTTAGATGTATACTTCTGGTTTCTTCGTCATCATATTTATGATCATTAACAAAGTTCCTGGACTCACCAATTTAATTGGTCTCTAACCTAATTTTATTTATTCTATTTTAGAAATTCTGTATTTGCTGGGGACTTCAAAGTACTTAATTATTAAGGAATAATGGCATATGAAAACTTTCAAAGAGTTGTTTTGTTTTTTTTAAACAGAAAAGTGCCCTTCCTTGGAGATATTTTCTATAGCTAGTTTCTTTAAACCATTGTGAGAAGCTGAATCCTCTGTGTGTGTGTGGGGAAAACCAAACCCCTCTGATTGTTCTCTGCTTCTGTTTCAATAACATTTATTTCAGTACCAATACTGCATTTTTCCATTATCAATTCATTTATGAGGGAAAAGTGTACACTAAATTGGTTTCACAACTTAGTCATATTCTAAAGATTATCTGAAAGTAAGTTAAATTGAAATTATGCAGGCATCTTAAATACTGTCACTAAAAATGTTACATCTACTTCAAGTTTCAAATCTGATGGGTCACTGCAAAAAGATGGGATGTACTGTAACTAAAAATACCCAGTTACAATTTTCCTTGACCTCCTACTTATTCCTTACCTGAACCTCATTTGGTAGAAGCTCAAATATTTTCTCCACAGCCTGGCACAGAAAGCTCCAGCAGTACTGGGCAGGGTTTGGAAGTTTCATTGCCTGCATGAGCCCCTGTAAAACACTCTGGCAGATTTCTGGGTTTTTTGTGTGGTTCTTCACTTCAAATTGCTGTATCAGAAACACTTCTGTAAAAGACTGTAGTTTGTCTTCTGCAACATGTTTCATCCACAGGGGCAGGGACATGAAAAGGTATTTCTGGGTTTTCACCTGAAAAGCAAAACCTTTTGTTTAGTTTCAGATTCTAACTCTTCACTGACCTTCAACTAGTGCTATAAAGGATGAAATTATAAAAAGTAGCTAAAACACCACTTAAAAAAGCACTCAAAGTCATAAATAATTCTCAATTCTTCTTCCCTCTTCTGATTAATTACTTAAATTAAAAAAGAGTTCAAACATATCAATATTCTATTTTCCTTAAAAATTGAGGAACTTCATTTGAAAGAACCCTAGATACCATGTCTCTTTAGTGGCCCGACAATTGTGATTTCCCTATATGGTGCCCACTGCATTTGTACATGAAGCATACAGACTAACTAGACAGCCAAGGACAAAAGTATGGTACTCTTAGCACCATTAATATTGCTAGCTAGTGGGGAAGAATGAATAACTACCTTGAAGGAATCTAAAGCTTACACACTCCGTGGCTGTGCTCATTTTGTGACCTCAAATCCTCACTGCAATGAGAAATTGGTGCTCAGAAATAAAATCTTTTTTTTGTAGAATCTTAGAATTGCCAAGTGTTTATATATCTATGAAGACCAATGAATCAAAAATTAGAAGACAAAAATACCCCTTGAAGAACTGGAAAAGATCACAAAAATCCACAATGGATTTTCTGAGAGTTGTCATGAACCTGCTCCTCAACTTGTATAAACTGACTGAACTGTACAGTCAAGTGCACTGTGAGGTTGTATCGTGCAGTTCATGTTGTACCTCTATAAGACAACTGCACTGTAGTGGAGGATAAACCCAAATTTGATTATACTACAGGCTATTCTGTTGACTATCTACGGAATAAAGTTAAGGTTTTCAACAAGTAACACATTTTACTAGATCGAGAGACATTGCTAGAAGAAGCAGGCAAGCTTTTGGACAGAGGTGGGACTTTTTTCTGAACTATCAGCTGCTATAATAAAAGATACTTTTTCTCCTTAAATGCCACGCCTTCTTACATCTCTAGGTTATCAGAGCTATAGCATGAAATCAGAGAGAGGAAACCGGTCTTAAGCAATTTAAGTAAAACCAAGGTAGCAGACTGTATGTCTGCCTTGAAATTCAAGGCCCCAGAATAGCCTTTCTCTCACTATAAATATTTGCTAAACAGAATTCTGCAGAATTCTGAACCCAGTAATCCTTTTCTGGTGAGACATCTTAAACATCATCACTGAGGGAACTTATAAGAAAGAGGTGCTGAGATACGTACACTGAGACTGTAGACAAGGGGAGGTGCCACCCACATCCCTAAAAGCATTGCTGCATTTTGAGATGACTGGGCCTGTGTCACAGCTAGTTGAAGGCAGAGATGTTTTACCTCATCACCTAAAGCAGAATAAAACAAATGGAAGTTATGAAGAAATTATTTTTACTTTAAATCTGTTCTCAACTCATAAAATAAAGGAGGGTTATTATTCTCCTAGAGCACTACATTATAATTTGCTTTTCTACAGATGCTGCTTAAAGCTTTTAACACATACATGTTAAAAGTCCTCTCTTCCCATTCACACACATCCAGCAATAAATCTCAGGATTTGGCCAACTTCATTTCAATTCACTCAAGAACAAAAATGTGGGAATGATAGGAAAAATAGGAATTAAAAAACTCCTTGCCAAATAAAGAGAAGACTTAATCGACAGAAGGAGAAATGAGTCAATTATTCCTGCTAAATGTAGGATTAATTAGCATTTGTTTACATGTTTCTGCTCTTCCATGTACCCCATGTTCACACAATATGTCACAGAACACAGTCACCCACTGCTGTGGATGCTCGGTTGCAGCATTCTCCAGGTTAACATGTGGGAAGCCCTTACTGTGCAAAGTGGTTATGATGGTTATGGAATTCTTATTAGTTTCTCTTTAAAGTCCCCTTAATGACTGGTACAGCCTGTTTCTTAATAGCGTAACTAGTCATAAATATGTTGAAGAGGTACTTTGAGCAAAGGCATGGCTTCTATATAGGTCATAATTGCTACAGCAACGTAAGGAGAAACAATTTCAGTATTATACTAGCATTTAACCCATTAGAGAGAAGATACATGACTTTTAAATGAGAGCATAAAACTTAAATCAGTGCTTTGCAAGTTTAAAATGTTCTTTCAGTAATGAAAGCGGCAATCTATATAGCATCACCTTTATAAAGTTCACTAACATTAGTGCATGAACAAAGCAAAGATTTTAGAGTCTAGTATCAGGTTCTTCGAAATAAAATACCTTATACGAGAAATTAAGTCATCTGCAGAACTCTGAAAGGGTGAAATTTTAACAAGATACTTTGGTAACCAGTTCAAAAATTGTCTCTCACTAGCTTGGACCGCCAAGACACAGATTATGATTTGCCTATGACTGTTCACTTCAGAGCACTACTGAATAACAGTCATAAATTCTCAGACATGAACAACAGTGACCTAGAGAACCCAAAAGAATTGAGCATACAGCCTAATTTTCATAAAAATATTCATGACTGGCTTGTATGAGAAATAATGTGGCCAGCAGGACTGAGGGAAGCAATTGTCCTCCTGTACTCAGCACTAGTGAGACTGCACCTTGAATACTGTGTTCAGTTTTGGGCCCCTCACTACAAGACAAATGTGTTGCTGGAACATGTCCACAGGAGAGCAACAAAGCTGGTGAGGGCTCTGGAGCACAAGTCTTATGAGGGGTGGCTGAGGGAACTGGGGTTGTTCAGCCTGGAGAAGAGGGGGCTGAGGGGAGGGGAGACCTTATTGCTCTCTACAACTACTTGAAAGGAGGGTGTAGCAAGGTGGGTGTTGGTCTCTTTTCCTTGTAACAATAGAAGAGACGAGAGGAAACAGCCTTAAGTTGCACTACCAGGGGAGGTTTAGATTGGATATCAGGAAAAATTTCTTCACTGACAGGGTTATCAAGCATTGGAACAGGCTGCCCAGGGAAGAGGTTGAGTGACCGCCTCTGGAGGTATTTGGTAGACGTGGTGCTTAGGGACATGGTTTAGTGGTGGACTTGGCAGTGTTAGGCTGATGGTTGGACTTGATGATCTTAAGGGTCTTTTCTAACCCAAACGATGCTATGATTGATATAGTTGTTCCAGAAAAAGTGTGTTAGAGTGCCACATTTCTAGGTGGACTGTTAGGTCATAACACAACTATTCTGCATTACACTTTCTAGCATGTGAAAATTGCTCGTTATCACATAGCATGACCTATTTCTGCATGTATACATAATCTAGAGAAGGGTGTGCAACTTCCACAACACTACAGAGGGACAGTCAGGAGAAATTATATATGAAGATGTAGACTATGATGCTGTCTGAAGTCAATAAAAACACAGCCACAAAACTGAGGTACTGCTTCCTCTGGAATTCCCCTGATACACAAAAGTAAGACTCCTAGGTGAAAAACAGGAATAAAAAAATCCCCCATACATTTAACAAGTTTCAGCTATTCATAAGGCACACAGATTTGCATCAGCATGGACTGCAGAACTCAGTATAGCAAATTCTTTCGCTTATTCTTACAAAGGACTTTACAATCAATTGCAAGAATATCAAGTAAAACAGAAGCTACAGCTCAAGTATAAACGAAAGTGTTTTAACATGTACCAAAACTTTCTGTATCTAGCAAGGAGTTTTTCCTCATAGGACAGTTAAATGATTTCTAGTGCTTATACAAGCACTCTGTATAAATAAAATAAATGCTAGAAAGAAATAACAGCCTTCCATATTCTGGGATCTACAGCACATCAATTTAAACACAACAGCACTTGCTCAACCCAGTTGTAAAAGAATCTGCAAGGCCCGTAGTAAGTTACATAAATCAGGAGAAACAAAACTCAGTGGAATCAAACACAGAAACAAATACAGAACTTCGCACAGTAGTTTGTTGGGGTTTTTTTTAAGGAAATTAGTTTGAAACTCAGACACTTACATCAACCAAAAGAGGCACTGACAGATATCCTGAGTAGAAAATTATTATACAAGCTGTCCAACACAATACTTCAGGATCAAAGCTACTCTCCAGCATGAAGAAAAAAATATTATGAGAAACACTGACAAAATCAGGATCATGATGGAAAAAGGTATATAATTTCCTCTGTCACCCAGTGTAAATTAGTAGAAAGTGTATTTCACACTAGTGACAGCTAGATGAACTACAGAGCAGTTCAAACTTGTGACAAAGCTGCCTGCAGCCTCTGCCACAGGCACTGGACCAGCACTTAGTGGGTACTGAAAAAAAGAAACAATTAGTTGAGTTTCATGATGGGCTCTTCTTACTGTAAATAGTTCAAATGAAAAATTCAGTCCAATTTCACCAGTGTTTTAGGGAACTTCCAACACTGCTCCAAACTTCTCAGCTCTGATCTTCTCTAGTCTTTTCTTGAGTTAAAACAAACTGTGTCCACACGGTGATCACAAATATATACTTGCAAACATTAAAAAGTTAGTCTTGAAAACATAATAAACACTTCAAGCCCTCAAAGTTTGTGAAAGCTGTGTTAGTAAAGAAGTCTTATGACAAGTAAAAAAGACTTAATAGAAAACTATTAATCTTACCAAAGTTTAGCCTCATCAAAGGAGAAAGGATGGATGCCCAGTTTACAGGTGGATACTGATGGCTTTCTCCAACTAATGCAATGGGTGCCAGTGCTACCTTCACCAGCTCAGTTGGGACACATTCGGGGCCTACAACAGAAGATTCAATCACAGGCTGAATTTTATACACAGACATTTGGCTAAACAGCTCAGGAAAAAAAGTGAACACTGCACTGAAGACCAATGTGTAGTGAAGAACTGAAAAGCATTATAAAATTACTGTTATTTCTTCTTGTATCTGAGAATTAGCTACCTGTTGTTTGTAATCAACAGTTGCATTTTTTAACATTAATGTCCTATCAAAAAAGGCTTTTTGTTAATGATAAATAGAAACTTCCCTGGTACCTTCTCCTTGAACCAATTCATGAGTTAATTACAGATATTCCTCACCTAGTAGAGTAGTATTTTTGCATTTGTTAACAGTAGAACAGCAAAGTTTTCTGACACTGCTCTCATTCCCCATCCTGTAGTTACACAACACAAAAACTGCCAGACAGATGCTAACCTTTGCTACACACTCTGTTACTTAAACCCAGGGAGTTAACTCAATGAAAATCCTCCTGGAGTCCCCCTGGAGGCAAGGCATGGGCAATTTTTACCTCCATTGAAAGCAAAGCCTGCGTCATAGGATAGCAGTGAGCTCACTGAGCTCAACATAGGAATAATCCCCTCTGCTTTGTCTCACTTAAGATTGCACAGCAAGACATCTCTCTTTTTGCTAGCACTCCTTATGTAAAGATCATACTTCCTTCAGGTTCCTTTGCATTTATCACATAGCAGTAACCCATGTGAATCCACTCTGTTACCTGAACCTAGGATCACTGAAATAAGGGGCAGCATAAAGTTTGCCTGATGATGGATTATTTCTGAGGATACATGCTAACACTTAAAGTGATTTGACTTTCATTCCCACAGGGAAGATGAGACACATCATCTCATGGACACAGAGAAAAGGGGAAAGGGAAAGGGTTTAAAAAGTCTGAAAAATGCAGCGGAGAAAACTAAAGCCCTAACTGCACAATTCTACCTAGTGTTATTCAATTTTTTATTTAGAGATTAAATATCCCACATTAGTGAAGTTCAAATTAGTATTTATAGAAGTTCTCTAAGCAAATAAAAGCAGGTCACTTTTAATAGTCATTACAAATTTCCCAGAGGGATACTGTAGTCTGATCCTTTCTTACCTTTCTTTCCACTTTCAATGGCAAAGTCAATCGCTGCCCTGATAAAGCTGTTTTCAGGCAAGTAGCTAAAATCTGGAGGAACTATGAAGAAAAAAAGTCTGTTTATATACTAAAATATGCCAGCAGAAATTATAACCTCAAGCTCCCATATAAATTCAAAGGCTGAATTGAGATATGTTTGAGCTAACTAATTATGTAGGTGACTTAAAGCATTTAGTTTATTGATAGATGCATTGGCCTTTCCACTTTTAAGGCAAGCTAAACGTTTGCATTGGTGAGAGGTGCCAGGTCTGAAAAAACAAATTCATTGACCAGCTGAAAAGCCAGGGATAAGAACTTAAAATGTATCAGCTACTGTGAGTCAGGCTTTAAAAGGGAGATCTTCAAAAGCTTAGTAAGTTTAATGCAACAGACACATTCCACATCTGTCTAACCTCAGGCACATGTGCCAAGATTATGCAAAAGTAGAAACTCCAAGTCTTTTTTTCAGTGATGAAGAAGTTTATCTATACTTCATATTATTGGTTTTCAACTTGGTTCACACTGAAGTGAACAGCCTCCACTTCATTAGTTCTCTCCTACTACTGGTATTTAATCAATGGTGTAATCCTGCCTTTATTTTACCAACAGACACTGAAACAACACCAGAAGGTAATGACGTATCGACAGAAGATGAATTTCTGTTCGAATTGCTACACTGAAAGGGCACAGAACACTAGTTTTTGACTTCAGTTAACCAGAGAAGATCTATTCTAGAAAAATACCTTTGAAAAGTCAGCTTGCTTTTTTTTATGGACTACTTAAGTGTTGGCTTTTCTATACAGTGGGAAATGCTAAAACAAAGAGTAGATTAATCAGTTCTCAGGACATGGAGTGGATAACGTAGATGTCAAACACGTGCCATATGCAGTGTAAACTTCTTTACAATTTATTCTATAAAAGAATAAAGACAGAAGCAATTCACAAGTTTGACCAGAACAACTTAGAACCTTACTTTGATACTGCAAGTAAAACCAGGATCCTATTCAGCACACTGATTCCTGCTTCATGTTCCAACCTTTAGGTCTGGCACACAGGACCATGAGGTCTCAGATTCAAAGGCTGTCATGTCATTTAATAGGGCTGCAATGTCAAGCCTGTATTGCCTGATGTGTCCCTTGCCTTTTTAGCTACTTCTATATGTTCTTTAAGCAGCAATAATAAAGCATCTTACCAGATGCCCTGTTCTGGGTAGAAGACAGACAGGACATATGAAGGCGTCCCAAAAGTCCTGCTGCATTTGTCTGAAGGCCAATCTGTCCTGAAAAACCAATTATCTGTTGAGACAATAAACCACTAATTAGACATATTTCCCTATATTGCCTCACTTAGGCTGGACAGAGACACTATGCAGTTTCTTTAAACAGATTTGGCCTGTTTGTGCAAGGTGTCACAGTACCCTAGAGCATTATCCAAAGCAGGAAACAGAGGCTACCTTCTTACCTGTGTAAGGGTTCTGATGACTTCATTCAGCTTACTTTGAAACTGGGAGGATTGAATGCTCTCAGATTTCAGCTGCCAAAGGAAAGAAAAAAGACGTGAATTTTATAAGGGAAAAGAAGAAACAACAAAACAGAGAATAGGTGCTGAAAAGACAGATTACATTTGCACACATGCTTTTTGTGGGTGAGCAGAAGAGAAAAGGAGAAAGCCTACATGGCTGTAAACTTTTCCCCAATGGCACTGCACATGGGCCATGTGATGGGAAAATGGAAAAATACCATTTTACACATTGCAGTTCTGTCCTGCTTGGTTCATGCCCAAAATGACTCACTATTGCATAAATGGGAAGCCCTGGTGTATAACCACTGCTGTAAGGATGCAGAGGGCATCATTCCATCTTACCTTCTAGCCACATTTCAAGAAGAGACAAAGGTACCATTTGCTTGCATGTTCTCACCTGTATCATGCCTCCTTCAGAACCCACCAGTGCAACCAGCCCACTGACAGCAGCGAGACGCTGCATTGTTGGAGAACCCTGGAACCATAATTCAGGATCAGTGAATCAATGAGGTCACACAGCACTACTGTAGGACAAAACACTTGCTTCTTTCAATTTAAAAACCATGGTTGCTATCACTTGTACACCTCTTATCCCAACAACCTTCTCAGGTCAGACTCCAGCATGCTGGATAATTATTCATCCCTCTCTTGGTGAATGAATGCTTTATATGGAGCTTCTCCCTGCTCCTCCCCCAATCTTAAACCATCATGCACTTCTCCCTGACCAACCATTTTCTTCTAGCATAGTCTGTAATCCACAAAATATGCCAGTACAATTCAAGTCTGAAACACTGTTTCTTTAGTGATACTTACCTTCAGCTGCAATCTGTAAGTTTGATTTCAAACACACTGTTTTTGTTACAGTGAGATAAATTAAAATTATTATAACAACTGAAGCACTATAATCACCATTCTGTTAGTCTAATTTTTATAAGTAGCATCTAATTTCACAAGGCATCTGCATTTAATAACCTAGATTTTATCCTTGGATATTGTTCCAAATTAGTAAAGATGTCCAAATTAAGATCCATTGAGATAAACATTTTCCATGAGTCATCCAAGCAGAAGAGAAACAGGGTTTTCTTTTTCCTTTAGCAAACAGCCCAAAGATATATTTTTGCTTCCAAATACTAATGAAACATCATGTTCAGATAGTCCTAGCTTTTCCTAGCATCATCTCTACAGAATCAAGGAAAACTCTGTCTCTACCGTTCATTTAAAGTCACCCCCGCCTGCAATAAACAGGATATGAATTCAAACTCCTTTACCTCAGCAAGCACGATTTTTATCCAGGCTGGCATTAGTCTGTTACTCAGTTCTTCGGCTTTCCCGTGACCACAAGCTGACAATCCATGTACTATTGCACCCAGAGCTAAAGCAAAACCATGGGTCTGTAAGGTGAAAAAGACACATTAAAAACCAAATATTGAAATGCTACCTAAATATTTATTATTTCCCAATAATTGGAAGTAATGTCTTTGTCTAAAATACTGGATGCTTTCTTATTTCAAGTAGTTTCTCACGTCAGGTGACGTAGGATTTTCTGAGATTAAATATTGATCTTGGGTGCATAGATTGCTCTGGAGCCTTTATTTTAGAGCAGACTTTCTTCTGATACAACGATAAAAAGCTATAGCAAAGGTAGTTTGTTTTGACTTCCTATTTTCCAGATAAACATTTGAAACATTGATTAGTGTAATAGGCTTTGATTCAAAATGGTTTGCTCCCCCCCGCCTTTGTTCTGACAAGCATTTAACAAAAAAGCATGTACACTGAAATATGAAGATTTTTTGGGGCATTTTTAGAGGGTAACGCTAGGACACTAGGGATGAAACAGACACCTGGAGGAAGCTGTGGATGTACTTATGATGCACTGTCTGGAGGCCAAGGGAAAACAAAAATTTAGAAGAGCACAGTAGATTTATTTTCTTACCAAGAAAAAGAATCTAAAGAAACACATTATAAAAAAACCAAAAATTGACAGGGTGCAGGGACTAAAGATATGAAGAACTGAGAAGTACCAACTTCCCTTTTAAATGCAATCAAACATACAAAATCAGTTTTTACTTCACTGTCTGGTAATTGCTATACACCTGTAGACAATGCATGAATGGATCAAGTGGTAATCTGGGTAATTGCTCGGTATGCACACCACACTCAGTGTTAATGCTGAAAGTAGATCAATATAATTTATTTGAAGTTACAGTCTGAGTAAAGCAGTATCCAATAATAAATAGATAAGAGAGAACCAGAACTGAAGGAAAGCCCAAAGACTGAATTATGACCTGCTGATTGTTTTCCACCAAGGTCCGTAGCTTGTTCATGGCCTCCTCAGCCTCAGCTGCTTCTATGATTCCAACACTGAAAGCAGAGACACAGGAACAGGCCACAGAATAGGCAAGTACCTGAAAAAAATTGTTTAATTCTGTTAGCCAGTGTCTGATTAAATTCACTGTAGCAATGTGCACATGGAGCAATGTGCCAGAATGATAAAAAAGCCACGACATTTCAATTTATACTTTCAGATGTTTATTCCCTCTCTGAAAGATTGTTCACCAATGCTAACATTAAACAAATACAAATAAAGCTTGGAAGAACTTCTGGTTTCATTTAGGTCAAACTCCTGATCTTCAACACAAATGCAGTTATTCTTCTCAACACAAGTATCTGATCATTATTTATGTGATCCCATCAGGGCCAAAGGCCAGAAGAGGAACATGTAGTAGAGCTGTCTGCCCCACACAGTGCATGACACCAGCTTCATGTCCTTGCAGAAGGATTCACAAGCGACACTGCTTTTCTGTTCTTCAGTCTTAGATGTTGAGAGTAAGGAAATGAAGCCTGCACTTTCAACAAGGCAACTGTGCCAGCTGTTTAACCTCCTTTGTACAAAACCCAAGGAACAGAACAGCACCAGCTTCTGCAGAGAGCACCTACCTACTGCGCAGGACTGACAAAAATTTGGCTTGGAGCAAGTAATGCTCAGATTGTACCTCTGGCTGCAGCAGGTCAAAGTTACCTCTCAAGTACAGGATCATATCCCAGACATTTATAGCTCTGAAAGAGCCTCTCGTGCATCTCAAATATAGTAGTATTCATCCCAGGATGCTAGCCAAATTTTAGTCATGTAATTATCTGAACAATTCGTCACAGAGATTTTAATCAAAAAGGGTAGGTTTTGCTTCTTATCCCAAACTATCTCATGATGTTAAACAGCTGCTGCCTTTCATCTCAGAAGTTGCTGTACTGAATCCAGTTTAAGTTTAGTAAAGCACTTTGAGATCTCTGGGGAGAGATAAATGGTTTCATAGCCATAAGTCATTTTAATGCATGAACTGTAAACTGCAAAATGCTAATCCCCAAACACATATGTACTGCCAAAAAAATTAAACTCCATAAAAGAAGACCTTTAATAAAGAGCTCCAATTTCTGCTACTCCCTTAGAAAAAACAGAGGATTATGCAACTCAGCTGTTCAGCTGCTGCAGGCTTATACACATCAGGTACAGGGTTGCTTTTTTGTGCAAAAAACCTGCTTACTTCGATTCTTGTTTTCTATTGTAAACCCCTCCAATTTAATCAGTTTTCATTCTCAAGTTTTACCTCAACAAGATTATAGACTTAGTGCATGGACCATGCCAGATCTTACAGGACGTACCTTGGCAGAGTAAATTGAAATGCATGCTGAAACTTAGCAGAGCTCAGTTTAAGTCTTCAAAACATAGTTATAAAGAAAACAGCAAACGGGGCCATAGCAGCATTCACAAGTGCAAGACTCACAAGTGCAAGATTCACATTAGCTAGTGACAGCAGCCTTCAAAGAAGGAAGCAGAAGAGTAACTTGCTGTCTCCTTTCTAGTAGATCAGATGACCTGTAAACACTGTATATAAGGAGACCCATATCCACAGTTACTCAGGACCCAACTTTCAACAATTTAATTTGAGGTTAAGGAATTAAAGAAGCACTTTAAAAAAAGATGTCTTATCTTTTCAGGTAGTTTCTTAATGTCTGTGCAGCATGACACGTTATTTTCTATTATTATTATTACTGCATTCTCCAGCAGATACAAAACCATATATTGTGAAAGAAATAATAGAAATCATGCATTCCAGTACTACAGATACAAAACTTCAGTAAAAGGTCTATAGCTATGAAAGGGAGGCAACAAAGTAAAAGGAATATTTAAATAGGCAATAAGATACGTCATACCTCCTGGACCCATCTGCTTTGGTCCTCACTGCTGTCCAGGTATTTGCAGAGTTTTCGCAACGAAGCAGAAACATGCACTCGCGATTCTGTTTGGCTACTGTGACTCATAAGTGAAAGAACAAGTCCTACTCCCAAAATACATCCAGTGCTTAAAGAGAAGAGAAGAGAAAAATGATTAAGCATGCTGTGGCTGCTCCGAAGTCTCTTTTCACCCCAACATGGGTTCCTGTGCAAAAAGACCTCCTCACCTTGCCTAAAAACTAGTCCCGTGGATAATTACTTAGCACAGTCAATTTTACAAATGGGTTTTATTTCACACATAGGCGATGCTTTTTGGGAGACACGAGATGAAATAAGAGCATAAGATGAAAATGTGCTTTTAAAATAATAAAACCTGTGTATTATTGCTTCAGCTCCTGAAGGGCTAACAGCCCCATCAACAAGCACATCAACTAGTATGAAGGAAGTATGGACAAATTTCTACATCTGATTTACACCGATATTCAAACTCCGATATCCCAGTTGAACATACTAATTGCAGGTCCACTGGCTATATTAGGGCCTGTTGCTCTCAAGATTTCTACAAGAGGTGCTCCAGTTTGCAAAAACAATGATATTAGTGATTGAGCCAGAGAGTGTTTTAAGATGGCTGTAAAGATCAAGGTATTCACCTGCATTTCAGAACATGAGTGTCAGGTATACTTTCTAACCCACATATACTAAAATACGCACACGCATATGCAACAGCGGACCAGCTTCAACAGGGCAGACATGCACAACTGTTTGATGCTGAGGATAATTACAGTTGCAAGAAGAAGAACATAGCTTCAAAGCACATAATTTAATAGGGCAGCTGTCACGAATGGCTTTGCAGTCCCTGCCTCTCTTTCAGATTTGACCAGAAATTCCACCCTATACCAGAGAATTCTTACTAAATTCAGCACCTGTGCTCCCATAACAAGTTTCAGTTTCCACAGGTCATCAGTCAGAATACTGAAAAGTGGTGTCAGAAAATTCCCAAACAGTTCTGGCTGCCATCATGAGATATTAAAATCATAGCAGATACTGAGTGCTCTGAAAGTGATCTCTCACTGGCACACAAGCACCATAGCTAAAGAAGCAGCTCTTATCTGAAGATGAAGATTTTTTTCCCCTTGCACATCTCCCCAGGCATGCCAATGACAGATACTGCATGTAGTGAGCAGTCAAATGAACGCAGCTAGGATCTTAGCCATTCTTCTAAGCTTCTGCTATCCAACTTAAAAATGGGAAGTTACTGCTTTTACTCAGCTAAGTAAAGAAGACACTTCTGAGAACAACTTCACTCATATTTATACACTAATGCAACTAGGGATGAAGATGATGAGCATGGGTAGAAGACTTGGAGTGGTGTCTTGGCAGCACCAAGTCTCTTCCAGCAAAGAAGATGAAACAAAACTTTGGAATCAGCATTTTTTAAGTAACTGGCATATCTGAATTCATGAACAGCCAACAAAGTAAGGGCATGTGTTATACGCAAGAGTTCTATACACAATTTTACACTAGTGCTTGTTGACAAAAATACATGGAAAGAAAACAAAGTTCCTAAGAGCTACAATTTTTTATGTTGTTGACTCTTAGCAAAGACCCAAAACCTAAGTGGGGACCGAAGCAAGAGTAAAACTTCACCCTCTCTGCTCCTCTTTTTGTAACTAGCAATTGTTTTCACCTGGCTACTTTGTGATCTACATAAATAAGTGCAGTTGATCCACATGATGTCTCAGATTACCTAGCACATTTTAAGTGTTTTACTGCCAGTGCATCAGACATACTGCACTACTGTCATGACTCATCTTTGAATCTACTGTTGTTTATCTCAGTAATGTAACTTGCCCCTGTAGGGCAGTACAGTCTATCACATCACAGAATGAAGGACTTAATGAACAAATCATGAAACAAAATAAAAGGTTTGCATTTTAGGATGAAGGAAGACTGATATTTTCCTGATAATCCTGAGGTGAGTGGAGTTTGACCGGTTTCTGTAACAACAATATAAAAATTTGATGACAGTTTTACTTGAAAATGCCTTAAAGTCAAATCAAACAGCTACTGATGTTGTAAAAAAACTCCACAAAAGGCAGGTCAGTTTAATGTTCCACACAGCAATTTAAAGGAAGACTACTGCGTATTTCAAGCTTCATAACAAGTGGCTCTTCACCGCAATTTTATTCGACATGTATCACTTGCTTGCTATTTCGCCAGTATTATTATTCTTACAGAGGCAAGCTAGTTCTGCTATGCAATAACTTTATACAAAAAGCCGTATTTGCAAAGGTCTTGTAGAATTCATCCGCAATAGTGGAAATGTAACAAGGCAAGCCAGAAAACTCTGCTGTCCTTTGGTATTCTCAAAAACTTTTTACATGCAAACCTTTCAAAAGGTCAGAGTTAACCCAGTCTTCAACACGTTTTTCTTTGTTTGCAGGAAGGCAGAGGGAGGAGAGAGGGAGAGGAAGCAAAACTTTCCAATACAGGGATCATATGTACTGCTATGCTTGTTACCCATATGCTGTACTGTTACTAACTGGAATGTTGCCTTTGATTTTTTAAAAATTATTTATTTTTCTCCCCCAGTACACTGAGGTTGATCTGAAAAAAATCTATTGAATATAATCTACATGAATAACTGGAAAAGTTAACAGCCATGAATTTATATGCTTGCTGAACCTATGCTCTATGTAAGTTAGGCTTGGGAAAAAAAATGAGCTGTTATATAGCTTCCATAATCAGTAAGTGTGACAAAACCTAATAGCATAAAGAACTGTCTAAATCACCTGTCATGCACATTTTCCATACACATGCATACTGAAAAGTATATCAGTATATTTTAAAAATATACTTATTTCAGTTTGTCTAACGTAAATGCAGATTTAAAGTCCACTCATAGATCTCTTCATAACATCCGAGTGCATTCCATTTAAAATCAGGAGTAACTGCAAAGCTCCTAAGTCTCTACAATCTATGAAACTGTTTCAGTTAAAAACTGAAGCATCATCACATTAACATGTTTAACCACCTGAAATGTTTTTTCCCTTTAAAAGAGTGCGAGTTTCACTTTGTTTTTCTTTCTTGTGTGGTTATGACAGCTAAAAGAGTACTGATTTACGAGCATTATTCACAATGACCTTTTATGAGAGGAAACTTCAAGTTTAGAGTATTTTATGCAACTTACACAGACAGAGAGATTCTTATGGAACATAAGTGGACCCTCACCAAGCTAAAGCACTGGTTCAGGGAAAGATTCTTAGGGCTTACTGGAAGCAACTCTGTTTTCTTCATTCCTCTTACCACCTCCCCTTTCCCTCCACCCCCCAGTATTAAAAAGAGAATTCTCCTAATTAAATGAAGACAGTTATAATACAAAACCAACATTCCTATCAAGGCCAACATTATCAGTGAAGCGGGGTTGTGTGAGCTCCAATTTGCATAGCGCACGCATTGATAAACCACTTTCTGATAAAGCACTTTCTTATCTAGACACTCAAGGCAGAAAAACAAAAACAAAGCAAAAATTCAGCAAACCCCTCTCTTTCTCGATAACATCTTTCAATGTGTGACATGTCTCACTTAACATCCTGGAGAAGCATGTTACTGAGCAGAGCAGCACATTTTCTAAAACAGTCAGGAGGCATGCCACATCGCACAAGTTTACAGCTGGGCTGCAGGGAGCAGGGGGGGCCAGCAGTGGCCCACAGAGCTCCCCGTGCCCTGCAAGGTGACAGGGTGGTACCGGGAGCCTTCCTGGCCCTGTGTAGCCTCAGAGCAGCCGCAGGAGAGGATATGATTACTGCTGGCATTCAGAAAAAAGGGAACTCTGTCCTCCCACATCTGTACCGCATAATGTATCTACTCTCAAAAAACTTGCAACCTATTTTAATGGAAAAAGAGAATTGCCAGTTTAGCATGGGTGAAACACTAATGAAAAGGTCAGTGTAACACGTCCCACAGTCAGCCATGCCTATGAAAAGTCTGGAAAGACCCTTGCTTTGGAATAGCAGTTTAAAAGTGGACAAATGCCAAACTTGGACAAGTCTGCACATTTACAGCTTTACATCTTTGTTCACAAAGAGTGCTCACACTAGACACCAACTTACCATTAACCTTTAAAAAATGTAGCCATTATGCCCAGCATAAAAAACTACCTACCCTTCAATCTCCCCTTTCCTACTTACCATTGTCATACTATTCTGGCAACGTCTCGCTGCCAGGGAAGTTTACTTGGCTTTTCTGTGAGGCGTTTTTCTCCAGCTAATAGGTTGCACAAACAAGCAGCAAGAGGTGTAACAAAGTGGTGCAGCTGATACAGCCCCTGCGCATGACGTGTCTCAATCCTGCACTTGGCAGCAGGCAAGGTGGGACCAGAGGGGCTGGGCATCAGCTCTTAGGGACAGCCTTGGACACTGGTTGAGCTGTCCCTGGGGCCAGCCTGGGCCCCCACTGAGCCAGGGCCAGACACACACCCAGGCAGCGATGAGGGCTAGCAGTATGCGGGCAGCGCAAGCAGGACACAGCTATGAGAGCCGGGGGAAGGACCACCCCTTTACTCTGTGCTCACCAATACACTGGAATACTGCTCTGAATGTGGGAAAGACAGCAAAAAACTGGGACAAACTCATGGGACGCTACTGAGGCTGTGAGCCTGGAGCCCTTGCCCCGAGAACAGAGGCTGGGTGACCACAGCTGGTTCATCTGTGAGAAGGGATGGCTTTGGTGGTACCCAACAGCATCTCCAGCACTTGACGAGAAAGGACAGAGATTTAGCTGGGCTCTTGCATGCTGGGAGGCTGAGAGGCAGTGGGCACAAGCTGAAACATCAGATGTTCATAGGGAGATAAGGACAGACCAAAAGCGGAGCCAGGGTCCAGAGATGTTGTACTGTATCCAGTTCTGGGGATTTCAAACCCTGACCGTAAAGCCTTGGGCAATGTAGTCCAAGTCCATGGGAAGTGCTTGCCAACCTGCACAGTTGGTGATTCTATGGAAGTACTCAGAACAGGCTGTCTCCTTATCCTATCCTTACACTTTTCTGGGTAGAATGAAGGAATAAAAGCATGAATTAAAAAGGTGGAGCTCAAAATAAAGAAAGTATCATCAGTAATGGGGAAAACTCACTTGTACTCCAGACTTGTGTCAAAGCAGCAGTCTTCCAGCACATCCAGGGACTTCATTAGCACTAAGTTCATATGTTGACCAGGTACATCACTGCAAAAACAAAACATAAACCAAAAATTCCAAAACACAGCTCTGCTCTTTAAATCACATAGATTATTAAACCTCCTGCGAAGACTGAATGTGCCAGTAAATAGAGTTCTTTTCCTGCTGTGAGAGGTTCTCAGTAACTATTTGACTGGTCATTTGTGTCACATTCATATAAACATACTCATATACAAATAATAAAAACATATTCAGACCTTAACTGGCAGCCATTACTGCTACAACAACCAGAAAGAAACCCAACAAAACATGCCTGGCAGTAGGAGGAAGATACTTACAGAACATGATTTCAGCTAGACCTGTAACTATTTACAAGCTGAAAATTCACGATATTTTAAGATATTAGCTCTGTAAATCTTTCTCTGCATCTCTTTGCCTAACTTATTGATAAAAAAGGAAGCATTTATATCTCACTTCAAAACCCCAAACCCCTAAAATAAAGATTCACATACTCCAAAATGCCAAGCTGATCTAATGTGATTCTCTAAAAGCCTTATAATGCTTGTATGTAGTTCAGTTGTCACCATTGACTAACCATCCAGAGACAGTCCATTCCGAAATTATGTGGCTGAGTAAGGGGCAGCAAGGTATCAAGTCGCCAAAGCATGAAGACTAGAACAGGGCAATGCTGCACAGTGTTTTAACAAACGCAGGTGCATTGGAAACATGAGCTTCACCGAGCAAATTAACAACTGACAGCCGAATCTGTTTGATGCTTGTGCACCAAACAAAAATTTATTATGGGTATACAGGCAGACACAATCCTAGTAGTCAAGAAGTCGGAGGAGTATAAAGCCAACCTACTTAATTTCTCTGCAATCATCAAAAATTTGCAACTGAGGCCAACCTTTCTGTAAAGGAGGCATTTTCTACCAATTTTGGAACATCTGTTTGCTGCCAACATAGCTGTAGCAGCACACCTTAAAAGACAGCCCATTACACTACTTCTCTTGTAGCTCCATCCCCATATACGTAACTCACACAATCTAAGTGGACACTACCCAGTGTCCAGAGCACCACTTAGAAAGGAACCAATGAGAACCGCAAATTATTTTACAATTAAGTCTCCTACAGCAGCTAATGCCATTTGAAAGCATGTGTGGCTCTTCTAGCTGACTGCTTTGCACCCGTACCTTAGGGTATTATGAAAATTAATCATTCAGCATGAACAAATGGCAAAATATCCAAGATAGCATTCGGGGAGTGGGTGGTGAAGACTGATAATAAAAGACATCTTTTAAGAAATGTTGCAAAGCACCTCAAGAATCATTTGCCTATGACTTGTAAATATTTTAATTCCTCAGAACTTAAGGCCACATGCAGGAAAAAAAAGGAAGTTATCTGCACACCTGCATTACATATGGTAATCCTTACCTGACTTTTTCTTCATACAAACGTGAGATAAACATGCCCAAACCAAGGCCCATGTGGATTTGAACAGCTTGAGACTCATCGGCATTTGGTTTCCCAGGTAACCTGTCAGTCAGCATATTCAGGACTTCCTCAACCTTTTCCTTCCATGATACCATGAAAACTGGCACCAAGAGAGACAAAGCAGTCGCTGCACAGGAACGAGCAATAATGCTAGCAGTATTTTCACCTGAATAGGATTTCTAGAAAAACATAAAATTTTTTTTTTTTTTTCTGTTGGGAGAGGGAAATAAAATTCCCTTCTAGGTAGTAGCACTCAGCACTTTAGGAATTTAAGAATACCTATACAGCAAACAGCGGCACAGATGTATTGCAATCCGGCAATAAACAGTATTTCATGGAACTGTCTATAGTAACTTTTCCATTTGCCTTACCTTGTAAGCAGCTTAAAACTATGGTAATTCAGAGTATAATTTTTAAGTGTAAATAAGATTGTTAAGTATAAAACTGTAAACAAAAGATGCAGCTAGAAATTAACAGCTGGTCTGCACATAAATACATTTGTCTATTTTAGTTTTCACCCTCCTTGTTAAAATATCCAGCAGTGTGATCAGAAACACAAACAGAAACCAGACATGATGTTAACTATTTCTGTAATTGTAACACACCAAGAATTTAGTGAGTTGGAAAAGGCACTACCTTAAAAGCATCATACCTAGGATGACAAAATATCTTGAGATCTTGCAAGATAACCAGCAGAGATGCTTTCCAGAAGAAAGATCTCTTACAAAGGTTTTTAATTCCTTTCCATTTTGAAAGGTAAAAATCCGTACAGCTACCTCTACTTATAAAGCAATGGACTGATTTTAACTAACAGCCTAATGTATATTTATCAACTTCTACATGCAACTGTGAAAAGGAAAAAAAAAAAAAAAAACAAATCCCATTGGGATGCAAGGCACTCTGCAAGACAGCAATTTCTATTATGTACCTTAGAATTTTACAAGCATAACATTTTATTTTTTTAACAGAGTGAATTTTAGAAACAACCCACTGTCGCATTGTTCCATCCTAAAACCACCTTTCTTAAACAGCATTATTTTCAAAGGCAGGAGTCACAGAACAATTCAGCAAGAACTGCTAGTGCCAACCAAGTAGTTGAATCTCCTTGCGTCCAATCAGTGCAGTGTTATATTTGACACTACGTTTGATTTGGTGATCTGTGTCCCCTACCAGTGATGACCAGAGCTGACTCAAGTCCACCAGTAATTTTCAGCTTTTTGATGCTACCATCTCACTACTGGACTAAATGCAGTTCATTAATACAGTTAATGAAGTTCCCATCACAAAACATTACAATACGTTAGCAGGCTGGTATTTGGCCTTGTAGGACCCAAATTCCCTTCTGCATCCATGACACAAAGAATCTCCAACCTCCTTGTTTTGACCACAGTCAGTCAAGAGTTAGTAACAGCTATTCCTCAAGGTCTATACTGAGCATTCAGTCCATCTTCCAGGTCTACTTAAGAACTGCCTGATACTTATATGGCTTGAGAATTTTAGGCTGGTTATGACACTGTGAGCATGTATGATACAACTTCTACTGGCCTTCAGGGGTTCAAGATGTACTGTAAAATAAGAATCCCTGGGTCCACAACTGTTAGATTTTGAGAAAGTATGCATTTCAGAGCCATAAGGAGTGGTGTCAGAATCACTCAAGAGTTTGATAGCATGGTCTGTGGAGAGTCTGTTCATGTTGCAAGGTTTTGTTTTGTACATACATGCTGAATATTCTAGGTCTTGAAGGGTTTTTTTTTTTGTTTTTAAAAATTCCTTCATTCTTGTATCCTCACATATGGCTTTTACTATTTTGGCAATAAGATAAACACTCAAGGCAAACCCAAGTATAAGCAGAAAACACAATGAAAGAAAAAGAACGAAAGCAAGAGAAGTTTTGATTGTCTTGTATTACAAATACTACAGGGCAAACTGAACCAGGAAACTCCACACTAAGAACTCCAGGTATGAAACACAGATATATCCCCTTGCCTTAACACAACACCACATACCTGGTAGAACCATGGGAAGACTTGACCTTTAGGGTGATAGCGACTATTCACAATACTAAAGAGGGTCTCTGTCACCATAGAAATCCAGTGTTTTGTGGGAAGAAAATCAGGTTCAGTCTGCAAAAATCAAATCCAAATATTCATTGTTATTTTTTCTTAAATCAGGTCCTACCTGAACAAAAGCTCAGCAGCTGATGTTCTAGCTATGATCCATCAGGAATGAGATTATTTGTCATTCTTATGTACGGCAAGTAGCATGATTTACTTGCCAGTGCTGACCCTCCAGACACTACTTTTGTTCAGGTACTATTCAGTGACAGCAAAAATTATGAGAAAGGAAGCTGGCTGGGTTTCAGTGTCCCCCAGACCTCTATCTCATCTGTTAAAACCAACAAATAAACGTGTTAGTCATTATGTTTCTTGTGAGAAGGCAGCTACACACTCTAACTGCTTTTGCATAGATCACACACCAGCTACCAGATAAAATTTCACCCTGCTTAGTGAATGCTAACTTCAAAATGTGAAGTACTTCACATCCACTTACCAGTCCCCCAAACACTTGACCATATTGTTTCACTATATTCCACTAAGAGTAGAGAATGTCTTTCCCAGATGGACTCACCTCAGGCATCCCTTCAGTGTCTGAAGAAAGGCTGCTTTCGTATTTGGCTACAGCAACTGCAAGACCAGTTAAGGCAAAAATAGAGTTTCCTTTCACCACTGGGCTGTCTCTGGACAGAAGAAGGCAAACAGTTAAGAAGCCTAATAGACATGCAGGCAACAAAAACGTGTAGCTTAATGAAGGGAAGTTATGCTACAGGTGGTCCAGGAGGGAAGGCTTTTGCACCTAGCAACTTTATTGGGCTGTCTTCTAACTCAGCAAAAGTCTATTGCATTTCATCTTCAGAAATTAGAGAAAGAATGGGGCAGAGAAGTGTTTCAGTCATCTTGTCTTGTTTGTCTTTTATATAAAGCTCAGCACTCACTAGGTTGTATAGAAACAGAAGCTTGCTTCCACTATAATGAGGACTGCCACCCTGCAAAGCAAGTAGCACTCACAGAAATGCACCAGTTGGTCTTAGCTAGTACCATCTCTACATAGGACAACACAAAAAAAGCTCTTCAAAGAGAGTGCTAGGCAGGCAGGCATCCTCATTGCAACAGCATCTGTTCAGAAGATTTAGCAGAGCAGCCATCGCTAAAATCTCAGCTTAAAAAATAGTAGTTTTGAATTACTCCCCTATGCTATGAAAACATTAACATAATGGAAAATGACAGGTTTCAAAGAGTACTAACTTCTACCACAGTGCAAACCTTTACTTTTAAGGAACTCAAGAAAGATAGATGTCAGTATCCTAGTCATTCCCAGAAAAACATATTGCAACAAAAACCTGCTGGAGCTCTCTTACTGTTTTACAATAGCAGCTGAACAGTACAAGTGTACTAAACCACTTACAGTCTTACACTAGACCAGTACACACTGTTCTATACTTTTTGCATCAGTGTTCCATTTCTATTTTTATAGCAACAGTTGAGGAAGTTTTTAAATGCACTTACACTGCAAATTTAGGCATTGGTTCCAGATCCGATGATCTCATTTTCACAATACAAATATTTTCTGGATTTCTGGTTTGTTTTTTTAAATTAAGACACACAGGTCTTAGTGGAATGTCATTGACTTCTCCTGTTTGGAACACAAACTATTTCCTTTCAGATAAGAGACACCTACAAATAATTATAACTAAGTGCTTACTTAAGTTCTTTGAAATCTTGCCATATCTCTTTGCCTTAAATAATTTCCTAATCTATGTATAGAAATTTTGTTGTTGTTGAGCATCAACTTCTAAAAGGTTACATTTCATGATGCATCTCAAACAGAAACTTCTGAATCTACACACTCATGAAAGCTGGATACTTTAATGAAGGTAAAAAACATCTTCCTAACAATCCCCAGGAGGATAAACGAACAGTGTCTTACTCTTTATTGGAAATATGGTGAAGACCCCCAGTATTTTCTTAAAAGAAAGTCAGTAAACACAAGACGTTTTAGAGACATGATCTATGCACAGGAAATTCTTCTGCTGTTATGTAATGAAAATTCACACCTCCCGCCCAAATTAGGCAGTGCTTCTACCTCAACTAGTTTTGCTAATGAACTTCTATAACTAAAATAATAACTTTAAGTATATTCTGTATCTCAGAATTAAAGTTTATTATTTTGTTTCTCCTTTATCTTTTTACTACCATACCTTAACAAAAGTATTTATTGAGTAGCTAAAATATCAAACAGATCTTCCAATTTAATCAATCCCTCTTTAACTGACCCCTTCAAGATGGACCAATATGCAAGGAAATAGAACAGCTGGGAATATTTTAAATATCTGAACAATGATAAATTAAAAACAGGAAAAAGTTCAAACCTTTATGGTTTTGAGTCTTAATTAAAATCTCCAGAAGTTTCAACTTGCAAAATTATTTCAAACTAGACTTCTATACATTTACAAGACATACAATTCAAGATTGAAATGCTCTGTGAAATGTCACTGTAATTCTTTCACTGATGACTTCTTTACGACTGAAAATTTTCTAAGTATTTGTTCTTATGAGCATTCACTATTTCTGATGCTTTTGCTTAACCCGGCGCAAGTGACCAATTTCAGGTTAACCAAGGGCAAAGCATAATTGTCTAGCTACCAGTAGAGTGTGAAAGGAAGAAGTCAAACCACTTTAGCAGCCTATAAAGGAAGGTTAAGATACTTATTGCTGCCTGACAACAGCAAAATTAACAAGCCTGTCACAAACTGGAAACATGTAATTTCCTGCCTGTGGGGGCATCTGGGCACAAGGCACCTTAAAAGAAAGTGGGAGAGTTTTGAAGAGCCCATAGTCCACTGAAGACCAGCCAACTTCTAGATAAGTGAAGATTATTTGAAGCAAGCAGTCTACTAGTTAAAAAAAGAACAGACTAATAGTGCATATATCACTACCCAGGCTTTACTGAAAACATTAGGCATCAGCCTTTCTAACAGACACAGTTAGTGGTAAAAATCTCAAAGCACAAGGTGGGGAGGAATTCCTTTTCTGAACAGCAGTCATGTGAAATCATGAAATTGGCAGATAAACAACTGCAAAAAATACTATCTTACATCTGCCACAAAAGAAAACTCATTTTCATCTGTAATAAATTACCAGTTCTTACTTGGAAGCACCTTTGATGACATCAGTCAACATATCTCTGACCCTGCAACAGAAAGAGAAAGAATTTACACCACGTTCATTATACCATAGCATGAACTAAGCTAATTTCCCCTTATGCCTTACATGTGTCCATTCTAGGTTAACAATTATCTCATCTAGCTATCAGAAGACTTAATGCAAATTAATAACAAACATTAAAACTGTAAAAGTGCTTACGTACCACCCAACATTTCTTCATGCTCATGTGTACTACCAATGTTTTATAAAGGGCTCTTATTTGACTTCATACCACTTCTTGTAAAATGGAGGTTCATGCAATAGCCATAAAATCTGTTCTTTGAGCTGTTACACATAAGTTTCCAGACCACGGTGCTATGCTTTAGCATAACAAAATTAGAACGTTTTACAATGGGCAACCATAACAATTTATGCAATACTTACTACACTCCTGGAAACCACTATGTGCAGTTATGCTATTAGGCAGTACAATAGCCTGAATCCATTTAAATGAAAGCCATAGTAGTTACTATTTCTTACACACGACTGTAGTTGATTTATAATAGTCTACTTGTCTGCCTTTGTTTAGTTTTGCATTCATATCAAGACAGAAGCAGAGATGCAGTGAATCTTCTATATTGCCAGGTTTGAGTGATGAGAGGGATCCTCTATACTACAACATATAATACCATCCTGACTATGACTGTCTCCCTACAGAAAAAGATAAAACTCCAATCACAGTTCCACTACACAAGATTACAAGACTAAAAATGCATGCCTTGTAAAATAGGGCCATATGGTGTAAGACTGAGCTATATTCAGGCTTTAAAAGAAACTTACTCAGGCTTGCCTTCATAACCACACTGGTCTTGCACAGTTTCAAACCCACCTACACTAGACACACTTAGAACAACTTGGCAAATACCAATGCAAAATTGCACAGTACTTATACTATAAAGCATTAACACTAAAGTTTACACCAAACTGCCCATGATCAGGTTAATCCCAGTGGGCAACACAAATGCCTCATGGGTACTGAAGTTAGAGCCCTGAAGCCTCGATCATTTTAAGGGAGAACAGGAAAAGACATGAAAGCTAACACCGGGCTTCCAGTTCTACTGCTTTGATTTCTCTACTGTTAAAGGGAATTCTATTAACTTTTGACATAGCTTACATCAACATTATTTGGGAAATATAGAGCAGAAATCAGTTCAAGAGAAATCCACAAAAGCAGCATTGCTATAGGCATTGTTCTCATCTGGAAAATGTTTTCTCTTTATCCCTATCAAGGAAGGGATCAGGCAGAGCAACAACAGAAAATTGTGCCACCATTACATAAAGAATCTCTCTGACAATACTGTATCATTCTCAATCTTACTATGTAACCCTCTAATCTAGACTTAGCTGGAATAAGAGACACAAATCTTGTATTCTTGTTTAGTGGGACTTAGTAACACCTTTTTGACTGAAATGGGCAAAAGGGCATTTTGGTTTTGTTTGTACGTACTTTGTTCCCAATGCACTTATGAGCAAGCACAGAAACAGATATTTATACTGTCCATGGATACATAGTTCTTCCTCCTCTTCTATCTGTGAAGCCTCCCATTTCACACCTTGTGCCCCTGGCCATGCACATACATGGCTAAATACTGACAGACTGAGAGGAACTCCTCGGCTGACTAAAACAGAAGTAATTGGGGACATGGATCAGAGCGTGCATCATCTGCTTGCTTTTAAACATCCTCAAGCTCAACACTGCCAACTTGCCCTGCACATTGAGATGTGTCAGTTCACTACGACATACATGATACCATGGCTGCTTACATTTCTTTTATCACGCCATTTTCAATGAGACAGCTCGCTTAGTCTCTAGAAGTAAGTTTCGCTCTTTGCATAATCCTTCTATTTTAACATGACACAAAACAGTTTTCTATTCCTTCCAGTTCCTCACCCTACAAACTTTCAGACACTGTAGAGGGGAAGGTACCTGTGAACCTGTGCATATGGGAATCCTTACAGACAGTTACCCAGTAGTCTCTTTCTTCTGGCTCCCCTCCCTCAGTCATTGTATCTGGTGGTGGTTTTGTTTGTTTGTTTGTTTTTTTCAGTAGTGCTCTTACAGTCTTGAAACTTGCAAAACTAAAGGCTTTGAAGGTCTTGGCCGCCTCTGCCCCCTCTCTTGCCATTACAAGTGATCAGGAGCTGTCGACAGGCACTTCCTTACCAGAGCCAGGCTGTAAACTGTTTGTACTGCACCTCTTCAGGATCCTCTTTTCCACGTTTTAACTGCATCTCCAGCTCTGCCTGCCTCCCCTGCAGAATTACAGAATAAGTCACAAATGGATCGTACATGGCCAATCATCGTAAGATTTCTTCAGAGAACACTTAGGTAATGGATGTACCCTTTCACTTGAGGGCTCCTTCGTAAGTGAACTTGACTGCTTTTCTTATGGGATCCCACTATAATACACAAAATACTAAGTAAAAGAATTCATGATTTTTTTATTCTGAGCGAGAAAGACAAGCTGCAGATGGCACAAAAGGCCACAAATACTGAGACATTTCTCCTAGTCCATGCAAAAAGACAAGTTCCCTTGGAAAAGGGTACAACAAGCAGGGAATGAGATTTAGAAGCCTGCTAGTTAAAACGGATTCAAACAGCAAAACATCACTTTCTTGATTCACCACTTAAAGCAGAATTCCTCATCCTTTTCCTTTCTATGACAGCAACCTCCCTGTGACCTCCTACAACAGTTCTGTTTGTACCTTAAAGGAGATGATATGGATTCTGGTCTCTAACAAGTTATCTAAACGTATTAAGGCACTTTGCTTTAATGTCCAGTCTCCAACTGTGAGACAACTACATCTCAACTTGTTTAGGTTGTCAGTTACTGTTCCTTAGTAGGTTATTAAACCTTAAGTGAAAAATACAGGCACATAAGCTGTGTTTTTCAGGTATTGAATGCCTGTAGTTTGGGTGTGCATGAAAACCTGAGAATGCAGAGTCAATCCTGTAAATCCAGATATCACTCAAAAGGTGATTCTCCACAGAGATTTAAAGGAGCATATACAACACACTGACTAGAGAGAAGGCTGCATAAAACCTATGTAAAAAACTACTGCAATTTTCCAGAACACATGAACATTGGCTTAAGTTCTGTACTAAATCAAGTCCTGTAGGATCATCATGATGAATTTGATTTCAGTCTCAAAAATATGCTGAATGCACAAATTGGTAGAAGTGCTTAAGCATGTGAGAAGACGTAAAAAAAGACAGGACTTTCAGGTGTCCAAAGGGAAAAAAAAATCCTCACACAAGTGTTTTGGTGAGCTGGACTCTATGAATGTTTGCCTCCAAACTGTAGAAATGATAACTCTACTAGCTGTTCAGAAATACTGAATTATGCACTATCCAGACTACTCCTCTTATACTGTAGTCTCTTTTGACCATCTCAGATGAAACGTACTATAGAAGCATAAGGAGTAAGTAAAGATACTAGGTCTCCAGTGAAGGACTTGAGAAGCAACAAAAATAGACTCTATTGCCCTGTAAAATGGCACAAAATCCTAGAGAGGCTTTCAGAAACAAGTCTGGTAAATGCCAAGCTTCTTGTGAAATCCTGCTTTAGAGGGGAAGTAAAATAGGAAAGTAATTAAATGCAAGCAACAATGGCCCCCTCTGTAGTTAAGACCTAAAATTACAATTTGAATAGCTGCTGCCTGCTTTGTAATGGGTCTGGCTCAGCTTAGAATCTGATATTTTGCTTATAGCCAAGATAAAATTTGTTTTGAAAATGTTAGAGAAGCAGATGGTTTGCTGCACAGCAAAAGAGGGAACAGTCAAAGCTTCCAGAATTTGCTCAGCAACCTGAGCTGCTCATGCTGAAAACAGCTGATATGGCCTGGAAATACAAACAAATAAGCCCTTCTAGCAGCACAAAGACAGCCTTCTAGAAGGCAGCTATTTGTTAAGGTTTTTAGATCATTTTCCTATTGAAAAACCAAACAACACTACATTATTCTAGGTATCTGGTCAGCTAACCTAATGAAAGAAAGGCTTTAAAGTATTTCCTAATCATTAGATAGGGTGAAAAAAATCAAAAGATAAGTCCCTCACAGTGTGACAGCATTACATGCTGATTAAGAGAAGATCTATTTAATGAATCATTACTCAATAATTTCTGTATCCTTTGTGATATTACTATTACAAAATTCCTGCCTAAAATAATAGGTTAGAGCTCTAGCTAAAATTTCACATTCTAAAAATTCTAAGAATTGACACATTCTGCAGCTTGACACAGGAACAAGACTGCAAGAACCTGAACTGTAAGCAGAAGTTGAACTTCAAAGTAAACTACAAAGTATCCCAGATTGCGATGCCATTAACTGAAGATTCATCTTATTTTTATTTCATTTTCACAAATTTTATTATTAAACACCTCAAGGTCTATTTTTAAATTATTGTAACTTGCTCTTGCTGGTAAAAACAAAACACACACTTGAATGAGCATTAATGTGCACGATATTATGTACCTCAAAATTACCTGCAGGACTGCACTGTAGGTTCGATTCATAAATCCTAGCCAGGACTGTGGCAGCAGTATGGAGCGGTGCCATTCAGAAGGTTGAATATTAACCTGTACAACACACCAGAAAGGGTCGAAGTGGTTACATTCAGGCTAACATATGCAGAATGTATGTTCTCCAACCTGTGATTTGCAGGCAATCATTTGTGTGTGTAGGACATTACACATGGCTGTAGGAAACTAAAATGATAACGTACTTTTTTCTCCTTTCTGATTTTACCCACACCAAGTTGCTTTCTACTTCGTTATCCAGACCAGACAAAATTGGTTGCTTCATGCAGTTCAACAGATAATTGATCCCAGAGAGAGCAGTGGAATTCTATGTAGCAATAAGTACAACATTTAATAGCACTGGCAGACAAAAATACGTACATAACAAAGATGCTAGTGCAGTTTATGTTTGTCATGGTTTCTGTAAACCTACAGAGCTGCTAAAAGCTTTAAACAGGTCTTTAAAATAAATACAAGTACATGACTATCTAAATACAGGGGAGATTATTCAAAAGGAGTTGGATTGAAAATAATGTTGAGAACAAACTAATGTTTTAGTTGTTGCTAAGTAGCATTTATACTAGCCAAGGACTTCTTCAGCTTCCCCTGCTCTGCCAGTGCACAAGAAGTTGGGAGGGGACACAGCCAGGACAGCTGACCCCAACTGGCCAAAGGGCTATTCCAGACCATCTGACGTCATGCTCAGTATATCAACTGGGGGGAGTTGGCCAGGAGGCAGCAACTGCTGCTCAGGGACAGGCTGGGCATCGATCAGCAGGTGGTAAGCAATTGTGCTGTGCTTTATTATTATAATTTCTCTTCCTCTGCTGTCCTATTAAACTGTGTTTACCTCAACCCACAGGTTTTACTTTTTTTTTTTTTTCTGATTCTCTCCCCCATGCCATCAGAAGGGGGAGGTGAGCAAGTAGCGGTGTGGTGCTTGGTTGCCAACTAGGGTTAAATCATGACAAACCGTTGACCACTACCCTTTGGATGTGACCATCCAACCAATTCCTCATCCACCAAACATCAAATCCATATATCTCCAAATCAGAGAGAAGGATGTTGTTGGGGACTGTGTCAAAGGCCTTACAGAAGTCCAGATAGATGACATCCATAGCTGTTCCCTTGGCCACTGAGGCAGTCAATCCATCGTAGAAGGCCATTAAGTCAGTCAGGCAGGACTTGCCCTTGGTAAAGCCATGCTGGTTGTCTTGAATCACCTCCCTGTCCTCCGTGTCCCTTAGCATAGCTTCCAAGATGAATGGTTCCATGATCTTCCCAGGCACAGAGGTGAAGCTGACAGGTTGGCAGTTCCCAGGGTCTTCCTTTCTGCTCTTTTTGAAAATGGGCACAATGTTTCCCTTTTTCCAGTCACACCTGGCTGCCATGACTTTTCAAGTATGAGATTGCTTCCACACCACCCCCAGCCAATTCCCTCAGGACCCTGGGATGCATCTCATCAGGTCCCACAGACTTATATATGTTCAGGCTCCTCAGGTGGTCATGAACCTGATCTTTTCTTACAGTGGGAGGGAATTTGCTGCCCCAGTCCCTGCCCTGTGGTCCATCCACAGGTGTGGGAAGAGAGGCTGCCAGTGAAGACTAAAGCAAAGAAGTTACTGAGCACCTCGGCTTTCTCCTTGTCTCTTATTACCAGTTTGCCAGTCTTGCTCATCAAGTGGGGTATGCCTTCTTTGACTTTCATTTTCTGGATGATATACCTGTAGAAGGCCTTCTTATTATTCTTTACTTCCCTTACCAAGTTCAGCTCCAGGTATGCCTTGGCCTTCCTGACCCCATCTCTACACACAGGCAGCGTCCCTATACTCTTCCCAGCATACCTGTCCATGCTTCCACTGCCTGCGCATTTCCTTCTTGCCCTTTAGTTTGACTAGCAGGTCTTGACTCATGCATACTGGTGGCTTGTCTTCCCTTCCTGATTTCTTATACTCAGGTATTGAGAGCTCTTGCACTCTATGGAAAGGGTCCTTAAAGATCTGCCAGCTCTGTTGTTCTCCCTTGTCCCCAAGGACAGTTTCCCAGAGGGTCCTATTGACCAGCTCTTTGAACAGCTGGAATTCTACCTTCCTAAAATTCAGGGTCCTGACTTTACTCTTTGCCTGACCCATATTCCTCAGGACTGTGACCTCCCCCAGTGCATGATCACTGCTTGCCCAGGCTGCCACCAATCTTGGTGTCACCAATTAGCTCACTTGCGTTGGTGACCAGCAGGTCCAGTATTGTATCCCCTCTGGTAGGGCTGTCTATTACCTGGCTTAGGTATGTATTTCAAGCTTCCTTTAAGGAAAGGAATTGTTAAAAAAAAGGAAGGAATCAGAAAGTTTCTTTCTAGGAAGCACTAGTATAGAGCTAACAGAATGAAAACACCGTCTCAGTTTAAAGAAACATGCAACAGTTTTCCCTGCCTGCCTCCAAATCTCACAATAGTATGACAGCCTCAACTTCACAACAGAAGAATAACTCAAACAGTCAACTATACAATCTGATGTATGTGCACAGACTTTCCTCAGGAGCTCAAGGTTGCTCTCTTCAGTAAGCACCATAGCAAACTGATTCAAAGACTTTTTCAGAGCATGCTGAAAAACAAAAATGAAGTCAAGTGATCTCAGTAACAAGCCATTTTCTAGCCCTTGGTAACTTAATGAAGTAATTACAGGGGTAAATTACAACAGAATGCATCACAAATTCAAGGCCACCAAGGAAGTTTTTCCAGACATCAGTCCTGCATGATATATAGGCATCTCCCCCGCAATTTGCATGTTATGCATTTTATAAATCAAATATATTATTTCACAAAAAATGTGTGTCACAACTAATTAGAAGAGTCCCTATTTCCCTCTCTCCAGGACTGTCTTAACAGCAGCAACATTTTATTACAGTAAGATAGGAGTTAATGTGTCCTCTCCTTTTAAACTGCTGTGTTTTCAGGCCCACAAACAACATAACCTCTGTAATTAAAATGATGAGTGTGCATTATTGTATCTCATCATATTCCACAGTAGACATACAGAATTTATTTCTCTCGCTACTGTCCAATTATTTCCTCTGTCTGCCTCTACCAAAAAGATCAAAAAATGTCACCACACCCATTTGGACTCCATGGGAAATAAGTTATTTAATCTCAGCAGTTTCCAGGATAATCAGTTTTTAATAAAGGAAAGGCAAGCATATCAGGTTGAGGTGAGATGGGATGTATCTCAGATCTGCTGTTTAAGGCCTATGCTTTCTGTTTCTAAATTAAAAGAACATGCCAGACTCCCTGAGTTATGGAAAACCCTGTGAACCGTGATCAAAAATTGTGCAAAGCCCTCCTACAGTAACTGATCTTGCCAGGCTTAGTCCCAGGTTATTATTCTTCCTTTTTATTCCTCCTATTTTATTTTACTACATAGACTAGTCACTGTTAACATGTAGAACACTGCACGACTCAAGATACGCAAAACTCTCCTTTCTCCATAACGTGCTTCACTGGCCCCCTGTGTACAGAAAGGTTAACCAACATAAGCAACTGAACTTTCCTTGTCTGTTAATTATCTTCCTAAATCCTCCTGCTTAATCTCCTCTATTTTATGCCCCTCATGATCTACATAAAGCAGTCAATGTTCTTTCTTTACAAGGATCTTATAACGAAAAGCAATGGACGGTGCTAAAGCTTCAAGCCTGCTGTCAGTGGTGAAATTAAAACAGTTTTGACTAAGTATTAATACATCTATAGAAATAAATACAATTGAAAAGCCAACCAATCAAAAGAGATGAGCTACTCCACCCCACAGCCAATACATACGCTGCAGAAAAAGAGAAATCTCATCTTTAAATGACTCAGTTAACACTAGCTCTTCCTTTTTAGGCAAAATTTTATTCTCAACCCCCTCTCATCTCTGCTCCTCAATTCCTCCAACAAGTCAACGAGCAGTCAAGGCTCCAGTGAGCATTGTTTGCCTTAGGTTCCCGAGGCATATGCAGCAACTACAGTCTTCCCATTTGCCTCTACTCTGAAACTAGTTTAGACTTGTACATTTAGATTTGTCTGGTCTCACTGTGATCTGTGAAGTTTACCATGTAATCCACATTTGTGCACCAGAACAAAAGCAGGCCTTCAGAACACTTCAGATGCTCATCCAGGAAATATAGAACTTCAGGTGTATTGTTGCATTTAAAGCAACTAGACAACATGGTCTAATCAGGAATGTATTATTAGTACCTTGCATATCTTCTCTAAAATTTGCAGATGTGCTTGATGACCAGCAGAACTGTTGAGCAGCTTTTGATCAATTAACTTTCCTCATAGCAGTAAACATTTTGTATGTATGTGGAATCAGAGGACAACAACAGGAAATAGAACATCTTCACATAAAAAAGAACACTGAAGTAAAATTCATCTACAACAGAAAATGATTGGGCATAGTGCTGAACATTATCACATAAGCAGCAGTGATACCTGCTATTTCAGCACAGGAAACCAGCAGTCTTTCCTTCTCTATCACTGGATACACAATGATAACAACAACTACATTAAATATTAATTAATACTAGCAAGCATAATTAAAGCTGACAATAAGTGAAGTTCAGATTCTTCTGAATGCACAATTTATGTGTAAGATGATATTGGGCAGGTGGGAGGCAGAGGAAAGGAGGTTCAAGGGACTTCAGAACCAATGACGAGTGGTTGTGAAGCACTGCCACACTGCTTCTGGGATGGTCTTAGGAGGCAGCATAGTCAGACCAGGCTGCCAAGTAGTTTTCAAGGAAGAATCATAGAATCATAGAATGTTTTGGGTTGGAAGGGACCCCTAGAGGTCATCTAGTCCAAGCCACCTGCAGTGAGCAGGGACACTGTTTACTAGATCAGGCTGCTCAGAGCCCCGTCCAATCTGTCCTTGAATGTTTCCAGGGATGGGGCCTCCACTACCTCTCTGGGCAACCTGTTCCAGTGTTTCACCACCCTCATTGTAAAGAATTTCTTCCTTGTATCTAGTCTAGCCACAGCCTGACACCTGAGGCAATAAGAAACAGCATGAGCTAGGAGCTAGTAATCTGAACCTGTTGATTGATGCTTAAGAAGGACATGTCCCTGAAAAGACACACAAGCATAGACTGCGTTGGCCAAAACCCAAGAGAGGGAATGTTGGCAAACCACAGGAGATACTACTACTGTACTTTAACACTTCTGAATACATATGGCACAAGTTTTGCATGATTCTGCAAGACTGGAAAGTAATTTCAAGTGAAAGCAGAAGCTCATTTCCCTTCTCCAGCGCACTCCCAGTAAAAATCAAACACCATGGCAAGATCTGGATGAGCTTTCAGCACGGGTGCCTCTGTGCTGCCACAGATCTTTGTATATCACTCACTTGTTTTGCACTGATACAGAGTCAGCAGAGGGCACAGAAAACAGATTTAGGGAACAATGAAAGTATGTTTCTGTCACTTTCCTAGGTATCTAATTGAGATAATACTGTTTAAAGAACCTAGAAACTATGATATCATCAATATTCAGGGCCCATCTTAAAATCTCCTGTAGAGCAGGGAGACTGGGAATCCCACTAAGTTCTCTTACTAAATACAACAGGTTTCCACCTCAATTGCCCTGCCTACTCACATGGTCCCTAAATTCAGCTCATCTCTAACAAATGTGTAGCTGTGAAAATGTGTTTTAGACAATACCTGTATGTCAGTGAAATGCTTACACATGTGTTTAAATGTCCTTCTCACATATGGGGCATATAAAATGTAGCCTCAGTGATTCCATAAATAAGGCTAGCATTACATACCCATATCAATGAAATAGTGAAGTAGCATCTCTTTTCATCCCGAATTTTTTCTTAGAGGCTCTTTTTAACATACTTGCATGCATACACTTTGAAATCCTCCCCTCAGCATTCCTTTCTGAGAAAAAAATTGTCTTTATCCAAGGCACATTAGCCTGAGTAGGAGAAAAGCAAAAAAATCTGACAAACTTACTTCCTAAATACTGTTTCATCACTGGAAGAGATACGATTCAGTTAATTCAGTAATGGAAACCAGCACAAACTAGTTCATCATCTAAACTACATCCATCGAAATACCTAGGCACAGAAGAATACACTACAGTGAATTCTGTTCCAGAAAATCCAATTATCATCCTAAGGTACTTCACGCACAAAATCTGAGAAAGCCCTTAAATCTCTTGATTACATCACAATCAAACCTGGAAAGAAATGCACAGAAGGAGCTTTCCACTTCAGTGTTCAAAGATGCATGTTATCACAGCACATCTAATGAACACACTTAAAACAGAAGCAGGGAATG